GTGACTGCTTGGACGAGTCCTTGCAGTTTTCAAGGCAATTGTTTTTTCGGAAGTGGTTTGCAAATATATATTAAAGAGCTGAATGTGTATTGGTTAGGGGTTCAGAAGTTTGGGTCCAGATTTCCCAGGCCTGGCTAATTTGAATGGAAGGTCAAACAGGATTGCCAAGGAGGGGTGGCCCTAGTGTATGCCCTTAAAAGCCCTTAAAATCAGTTCAGGTCCTAGGGTACTTTGGATATAGTTTTGTATAGTTAACTTGTTCGGCATTATCAATATGCAGATTTGATTTGATCACGGAGTCTTAGATTCTGGAACATGTGTGGCACATTTCTGTGCATCACAATTCAAAACTGGAATCTCAGAATCAAAATTGTTAAAAAAAGAAAGGTGTACAAATAAATGGGAAGAGTTTTAATGAAAATGATCATCAACTTTTGTTTTAGAAAAATTGTTCTGTAAGTTTTAAGATGTCTGTAAGTATAGCTGATTAGAATCCAAATAAATATTTAAATCTGACTATAAATAACAAGAAGACCTAAAAACCTGCTCAAGGTATCCAGTCAGAGGAAGAGCTGTCAACAATATGGGTTCCTTTAAAGGAGGAAGCTTATGTGGAAGCGTTTGTTTCCAATATTTTTCTGGTTTTCTAAGAATTTAGAAATGAAAGGTTAGCAAAATGTAAACATAGCCCAATATTTAGATATAAAACTACTTAATGCATTCCATACCTCATAAACTTCTTAAGTTTTTCTTCATTGTCAAAAATATATAGCTTTTTGCGATAAAGTACAGCATATTCAATGTTCCCAGGTACCAGAGCTTCATACCTCAAAAGAAAAGCAGTATATTTTTTTTAAATTGTAGCTTGTCTTTCTGCTTCAAATTGTGACAAGAAATTATCCTTAAAATATAAAGCTCTTAACATCATTTTAGGGTTTTAAAGATAATGATTAGTCTTCTGAACTGAGTATAGAAATGCATTGGAAACTAGTAAGCTAAGATAAAAGAGAAGTCACATGCTTCAAGTAATTGGTTCTGATCAAAATTTCAGCCAGCAATTGTTTTTAAAAAGGGAAAACTGCTGGTCTTTTCAATCAATAATGGTTTTCAAACCCTTTTCAGAAGTTGTCCCAATTAAGTGTATTGCAGGAACTCAACCTTTCTATAGAGCCATGTGTGATCATAGCAAACTTCATCTTTTTCAGGAACAAAGAACCAGCACCAACAGAACAAAAGCACTTCTGAATATAGCAGCCATACAGGAATACAAAAGTACCTCTGCATTGTGAATGTGATTTTTCAAGAATTAATCTACAAGATCCCACATCCTTATCCCTAAGGTTATCCAGGAACATTTATACTGACTGTATTACAGTGCATTACAGATACCATATAATGTAACATACAGTACAGTACACATTATAGATATCAGGCACCGGTTTGATAATCTTTGTGGTATGTGATGGGCCAAAATGTTCACAATATTTGGTGAAGTATAAAAACAAATCTGTGAATGGAAGATACTTTAAGTATACAGGAAGAAACAGTTTAGAATGCAGCATAGTTTACAATGCATCTCAAAAGGAAGACAGAATTTTGGATCTTCTATTAAGTCAGTAGATATACCTGCACAATTTTTCTTTAAATTTACATTTTCTTTAAATTTCTTTAAATTTCTTTAAAAATAAATCCTTCAGTGCAAGATTAAGAAAATGGTTCATATAAATTACAAAAAGAGAGAGAGAGAGAGAGAGAGAGGAAGGAAGGAAGGAAGGAGGGAGAGAGAGTGAGAGAGAGAGCGAGAGGAGAGAAAGAGAAAGAAAGAAAGAAAGAGAAAAAGAAAAAGAAAGAAAGAAAGAAAAAGAAAGAAAGAAAGAAAGAAAGAAAGAAAGAAAGAAAGAAAGAAAGAAAGAAAGAAAGAAAGAAAGATGTCTATATGTCTGTTCTAGGCTTGCCTTGAATGTTTTAGTCTGGATATTTTTGCTTCAGATGATGCTCTTAATTACTGTAAAACACTGACAATATGGTTGATTGTGTTGAGTATAAATTTGATAAAGCATTTTTTAATGTTTTTTTAATGGAAATGAAAATGCAAGTCTTTACCTTTGCTTTCCATCAAGATATGTGACTGGGCAGAAGCCTTGCATTTCAGCTTGCATGGGAAATAAAGCTTTCACATCTGCGGCAGTCAGCCTTTTTGGTAATTTATTTGGGAAAGGAAGAGGATAAGGTGCTAATGGGGGAACATATAATTCTGGAGTTTCCAGGAATTTCTGCATTGAAAGAAATAGTATATTCATAAGAAGAAACATGCTTTAAGATAGAAACAAAATACTAATGAATCTACTTACATACTTTGTGACAGAACAAAGTCTGTCTATTGTCTATCTGTATTACTACTACAGAATATCATCAGTCCTTTGCTAAGTGCTCTACAGAATGACAATATAATGCAGTCATTATTTTAGAGGATAAGATCCAAGTATCAGGAGGGAGGGAAGGATTCAAGAATTACTAAAATAGACAACAAGGATAGCATAATAGTTCTGAAAGTAAGCTTTGAGGACAGGGAGATGGTTTGATAGGGAGGCTATTTGATGCAAAGGGAAATGCTTCATTATCACTGTCCCTTCCAGAAATGGTTTCATTTACCACTTTTATTTAATCTAAAAAAGAATGCAAATAGTATTACATCTTAACGAGCGACACTGCATTCTTAAAGCTCAGGAAAACAAACAACACCACAGTACAATTCAGTGAATAAGCATTGTGTATAGCCATTACTATATAATAATACTCCTGAGCATTCAAATAATATCTCAGTTCTTTAATTTGATTGCAATATTGCAGGAAGAGTTGGAGGCTGGGATTAAGGGACAATAATTTGCTTAAGACCAACCCAGAATGCTGTCCCTGAATATTGTCCCTGCCCCTGAATACTCAAGAGACTGGGAAGAATAAACTTTGAAGAGTCTGGTGTTTGCTGTTATTTGCTAGTCAGCTCCCCACCTCTCTGTCTACAAAGGTCTTTGCCACACCATGATGCAAGTAAATTTCAATCTCTATATTCCTATCAAGCTCTACAATCTCTCACAATTCCTTGCACCGGTATCTGTTTTCCTGATTAATAATATACATACGTACATCTAACTCCTCCTGTCCAGCCATTTTGTAGTAATGTCCTCGAAATTCTGCAGCAAACTTCAGAGAAGGAGAGTCAGAGCAATCAATAAGTTCTTCCCTTTCCGCAAGGCTCACCGGACAATATTGCCCAAACTCTCCCAGCCGAGAGAGCAATTCATTTGGCATGATACACATATCAGCAATACTGGCAGCTTTTCCTGTTAACAATTGAATACGCTACTATCTTGTTTAGCTGTTCCACGCTTGCTTCTAATAGTGGTACAAAGATTCCCCATTAACATCTTTATTGTGCTGTGACCCAGTGACATTGCTTTCATCTCCTCCTCTGCCCATGAATGAAACAAACTTAAGATGTCCTTACTGCACTGGTGTTCAAGTACTTTCCCCCTCCTACACCACCCAAAGGCAGCCTCAAAGTTTGCAAAATCTGTTAGGCTTACTCATCCATTATCTTGGAAAGAAATTGGTGACTTGCAGTGACTGGGAGCAGAGAAGATAAGGGTGGAATAGGGATTGGCAATGGGCACAGCAAGTTTCATGCCACTTTAATTTTCAATCAATTTAAGAGTGGATGGAGACCACTTCAGCTGGGCAGCGGGCAAAGAATTCTTAGTATGCTTCTTTAATATTGCTCCATATAATTTTTTAGAAACTGAAAATACTCCTCCTCCCTCAAGATAACAAAAATAATGGACTACTAGTTATTAATCAAATATAATTCACAATGTAAGAAGCTTGAGAGTTTAATTCCATTTTCCCACCTATATGGTTGAAAATAAAGACATGTTTGAAGGTAATAGTCTGTCATATAAAATATATATTCTCTCTCTATTGTTACATGGGTTGCACACATCATATGGGGCAGAAAGAAGGATATTCTGTATATAGATTTTTTATATTATAAATGCACCATTGTAATATGCACCATAAAAGCAATTATGAAAACTGGATGGATTTGGATTCTTTTGGCAAATAGCATATGGACAGATCATTAATTTCCTCAACATAATTTGAAATTCTCTTTTTAAGTTTCAGATGTCTTGATTTTTATTTTAAGGTGATATTTCAAGTTTACCATTTCAAGTGTAAGATTTAAACATAAATTTCCTTGAGAAAAACCTGTTTATGTAAAACAAGACTTTCAGCTTACCTTGCCGTATTCTTTCCAGGTATAACTGGATTTGTTTAGTGACTGCTTGAGTTTCTTGCAGGATTTTGTTCCAGATCCACCATTTGCTGTGAGATGCATCAATTACATACCAGTTCTGGTGCTGTTCCTCATAGTATGGTCTGATTTCTTCAGTTTGTGCTCTGTAACAGGAATTCTTGACGGAAAGAATATGGGAGCTTTCATGCAGTGGATAGGGAGGTCTGAGAAAACAATTTGAAGACCCATTAATGCAAAACTTCAATTAAAAGTGTTTCATTGTGGATTATATTAGTAAAGATTGTTAAAGATTAACAATGGTAATGAGCATACTTTTATTCAACATGTTTTCCTCTTTTGCCTCCTGTTCTCACTACTATGCCTCCTCTCCTCAATTTTTTCTGGAAAGCCCTCCAACAGTCCAGGACTATTTGGCGGGCTTTATGAGATAAGTAGCAGAGGAATTCCTTCCATTAGGGCAGACATGATGCAAGGGCTGTGTGTAGCTCCCAAAACACAGAATTCCTTGAGATTGTGCTACCAGTGGCTCAATTTCTAACTGATTTTTTGGAGGCAAAAAACACACAATGAAAGAATGTTTTGCTGCTTTTTTAAGAAGTGCTTTTTTCAAAACAAAACAGAACAATCTGATCAACCACCACCTTCCCCCCAAGGGGGGAAAAATAAACCATGGGTGAAAAATCCCATATCATGCCTTCTGGTTATGTTACTGTTCACACAGAACAGTCTCCCTCTGCTGATCTTTTTAGTGTGACTACCAAAAGTTGCCCAAGGTGTCATGAGTAACTGAATTAGTTTTAAATACTATTAATTGATTATGAAGAAACCTTTCCCCTATGACCTGTTTACAATTCTCTACCATGGCATATAAATACTTTAAATCAAGGTATTAAATATTTCTAAGCCATTGAAGTTGATGCCATAATAAATTTGTTCTTAAGCTGTCACAGACTCTTTGTTCTTTCGGTTGGTATATTGGTATATATTCTTTGCCAGCATGATTGAACAGATAAGTACTAAAGATATCAATGTGTCCTGTAATACATCATGAGACACAGACAATTGAAATAACATTTAAGGAACACATTTAGTCAGTTACTGACCATTCAGTGTTCAGTATACAAGAATGGAACAGAAAATGACAACAACTTTGATATGGCTTCTTTATCTGCTATTTTATTATTTTTTTAAAAAACCCTGTAATTGTCACTCTGAAAAAAAAAAGTACATTTGCTATAAGGATCAGTTTGTGGGGGTTTTTCCTTTCCATGTTCCTCGCATTGCTACCTGTTAGGGCTTTGTTTATCCAGAAGTGCTCTTCTTAAAACCTCCTTTACATCAATGTCTAACTCAAAGATTTTTATTGGAATGATTTTCATTTCTTCCAATAGGTCTACCTGTTTTCTTGTAACAGGGTATCCATCAATAACAATTCTATGGGAGAGAAAATTAATACAATTCAGATCTGAGTTCAGATCTATTTTGGAACAGTATCAGTTCCTATAATTCCTGAATACTGCTAACAAGGCACAGAATACAAGCCAGAAGCAAGGAAACAACAACAATACACACACACACACACACACACAAACTCTGATTATAAGTTTCAAGATTTCTGTAAGTGTGTATGTGTGTGTATAAATACCTGTACAGTATTTTAAAACTAACAAATACTGAAAAATAATCTGCTATTCCATATACATTCCAGAATCCATAAACTAATAAATCTACTGAATTCAGATAAGATAGAAAGTAAAAAAATATCATGATTATAGCCGTGCTTTGATTTAAGAAGAAGCTGCATCATTCAATTTTTTTTTGAAATCTAGAGATGTGACTTCTCAGTAGCAAACCACTATGAGAACTATCACAGGCAAGTAGGACAGAATTATATGGCAGACAACCCACAATTGTCTGTAGCGTGGACTGGAAATAGTTTCTTATTGGTTCGCTAAACCCTACAGAAATAATGCAATATAATACCTGAAATGGAAATTGCTCACCCTGAAGTGTTACACACAGTATCCATCAAGGCAATATCTAAGGCCCTTAGGGCAAGTTCATCAGGTGCAGTCAGCCCTTTGTGAAGGTGCCACTTTAGCACAAGAGCCAATTCAGTTTCTGGCTGATCATTTAACACTGCACGGATGGCATCTCCCATGGAAAGGCGCATTAATCCATATGTTTCTGCAAATTTTTTGGCAACTGCAAAACATGTTGCTGATTATTAATACATTTTCATCATATCCGTGAAATATACTGATTGTATTCTAAAGAATAAATAGTTATGGTCAATAAAGACAGTTAAAATAAAAACTAGTATGGTGACTAACATTATTAAAAATACAAAGCTTTTTCAAAATAGTTCAGCAATGAAAATCTTTGAGTACAAAGTCTTCCTAAGACCAAAATTAACTAATACCCAGAGGCACAAAATGTACTGTATGTTTTTAAAATTTAAATAACATTTTTTTGACTACAATAGCCAATATTACGCAGTTACCCTTATTTTGTCTTGATATTCTATATAAAATTCTATTCTATTTTATTTTTTATTTTGTATTCTATATAGAAAATATTTGGGGGGAAAATTCAGGAATGAGGAATCACAAAATAACCTACTGATGCTCAAGCATGCTCTGTAATAAAAAAAAAAGTCAAATAACTGTTGAAGGGGAAAAAAGGGGAGGGCTATGAAGTGCAGGCAGGTGGGGGGAGTGATGAGGTGCCATGGATGTTGACTGTGGGCAGCAGCATTAGTACCTGCATATGCCATTTTGCCGCAGATTCTATTGGTTGTTAATTCCTATTGTTATACTGTCATCATATGATGCCAAAGATGAAGGATATTACACAAGCTGTATATCAGAAATAACATACGCCTTAGCAGATTTCATATCTAATTAGATAAAATGTCAGATTCTTTAAAAATGGGGCTGCAGTCCTAGAATACCATTCTATTGATGTGAAGAAACATATACCCGATATATTTTTAAAGTTTAATTACAATCGCTTGACTAAACAGGAATGGCAGTTGTTAATAGAAAAACAGCTTTGCCCATGTTTTCCTGGGGGGCCAATTACATGAAAACATTCACATCATCAACTACGTGTACTTGGTTATATTACAATTATCTTGTATTCTGTCTTATAGCAGTATATATGGTAGAAAAGATATATACTTTAAAATATATTATACCTTAATTATTTAAATGAAATTCAACCTGAGTTGAAAAAAATGCATCATATTTTTTTGCTCAAGTTGATTATCCTATACATTAGGGATGAGTAACTTTCCCAAGGCTGGGGTTTCAAACTGCTCCCCCCGCTAAATAGAGGGCTGCAGATGACAATATTAGAAGGATATTGATATCACTGGAAGGGGCAGGACTGATTCTGTTTTTTAAAAGTGGGCAAGGGAGGCAGATCTTTTCCATTTCAATCCTTAAAAATCCTCCAACCCTCAAAAAATGGTTTGCAATTCTGCCACCAAAATTTGAAAATACAATGGCTGAATTTTAGTAGTGTGGTTTTGAACCATGTGGAGGGGGATTATGCTTTGTTTTGCTTTCCTGCAGTAAAAAAACGAGCAAACACAAACACCAATATTCTCATGGTGAGGCAGAAGCCTACCTGTTGTCTTTCCAGATTTTGGAGGCCCAACAATTGCAATTTTAACTGGTACAGTTGGTTTAGGTTTAGGCTGGCGGAGATATTTGATAGGATTTTTCATAAATTTTTCTCTATTTTCTTTACTTGTAAAAAAATAAACACAGTTCCGATGAATAACTGGAAAACTTGTTTCATCGTTTTGAAAGGGCTTGATCGCATCTCCTTCGCTTAGCTGCAATAAATACAGAATTATTGATGTCCAAATTACATAAATTACAGAGTCCACTGGCCAATAAATTTAAATAAATAAATAGTAAAGTAAATAATATATAATTTGTAACTTATATAATGCATGTTTATGTAAGTTATATACTTTTCTCTAAGTTTTAACAAATATTAATCTTTTATTTGGGAGAAGGAAGCAAAGCTTCTCCAGCCTGCAATTTAAATAATTTATGCTAGTACAAATACTTGCTGAGAAGCATTGACAAAATAAATTACAACATCATTTAACAATCATTAATACCACCACAGTCCTAGATATGTCTTTTGGAAGTATATCTGAGGGAAAATCAAAGAAGCTATATAAAATTAAAATGCTTCAAGTTCAGGAGCAGGAGCCTCCCTTAGCCCAACCTTCTGCCCTTCCCACGAGACTTGAACTTCACACCAAAGGCTCCTAGAGTCTTGAGTAGGAGGCAGTCTTTGGCTGTTACCAGAATGATTGCTGTTAGCCAAAGACACTATGGAATGTTTTTCTCTTTCCTCCTTACAGGTAGTCCCCAGTTTAAGAACGAGATCCATTCCCGAGGTCTGTCCTTAAGTCAAATTTGTATGTAAGCTGGAACAGTATTATTCTATAATACTGTATAAGTAGTATTGTGTACATTATTTTCCTGGGAGGGAAAAACAAAAGGAAAACAATGGT